TCTCTCTCTCTCTCTCTCTCTCTCTCTCTCTCTCTCTCTCTCTCTCTCGTGTGTGTATTCACATATATGATAGGCCAGAGAGGATTTTAGATATTTTGGAGCTGGGATGTACAGGTGATTGTGAGCCACCAGCCATGGGTGCTAGGAACCGATCTCTGGTTTTGTGAAAGAAGAGCATGCACTCGTAACAACAGAGCCATCTCTCCAGCTGAGGAGGGTGCATTCTAAAGAGAGAAATATCTTGCTCAGAGGATATAGGCACCCTTGTATTTTCTATTAACAAACTGTTTTCTAAAGTAGTTTAAATCAATTTAAAGTCCTACTAGTAGTGGATAGCAATATATATATATATATATACTCTGTCTGTTTATCTATCTATCTATCTATCTATCTATCTATCATCTATCTATCTATCTATCTATCTATCTATCATCTATCTATCTATCTATCTATCTATCATCTATCTATCTATCTACCTACCTACCTATCTGGTGCCAAAATTCTTCAAGGTTAATGTCTAATATCCTCTTAGTATGTGCCTAGTTTGCATATTGCATAAATTAATGGGAAAAGTGTCTGCCTTTAAGTTCTTCATATTTTGTGTGTTTTGTACTTGCACAATATAACATCAACCAGAGTAGGAAGTAGATGTGATAGCTAATTTTGGTTTAGAATCACCTAAGAGACAGACTATTATTGGACATGTCTTTGAGGACATTTCTGGAGACCTGTAGCTGAGGAAGGAAGACCCATCTGGAATACGGGTGACACCCTGCCATCCATGGGCTGAATTAAAAAGAAACGCAAGCTGAGTGTCAGGATTTATCTCTCTGCTCCTTGACTGTGGATGCCATGTGACCAGCTTCCTCATGCTTCTACATGCCATGCCTTCCTAACATGATAAACTGTGTCCTTGAACTGTGAGCCAAAACAAACTCTTCCTTCCCTGCTTCTTTATGTCAGGCATTTTGTCACAAGGATAAATGTAACTTCATATGACATCCTGTTCTGGGGTCACCCTATTGGATTCTGGTTTGTGTGTAGGTGCCAATACCCACTTCTCCATATTGATGTTACTGTAGATAAGGTAGACATAAAATCAATGGGTATGGCTAATAATTAAGGTTTTGATGTTTAGATCAGTTGTAACTACATCTGTAATTATAATAGCAGATCAGAGAATGGTTTCATGCTACAGATCATGGAAAGAGTAGGGTGCTCTTTAAATGCTTGAGTAGAATGCTCACACAGCAAGTTACCAGAGCAGACGGATGACCAAAGTGTTGATCTTGTCTTTCTGAGTCTGGCGTATTTCACTTGACACAGCGATGTTTCAGTTCAGGCACAATCATGTTCCTGTAAATGACATGTGTGGTGATTTGAACGCGAATGCCCTCTCTAGGCTCATGTGCTTGAATCCTAGGTCCCTAATCGGTAGAGCAGTTTTGGAAAGATTAGCAGGTATGGTCTTCTTGTTAGGAGTTATGTCGCTGAGAGTGCTCTTGGGGCTTCAAAGGTCTTCTGTGTGCATAGTGAACTCTCTGCCCTCTGCCTGCCTACCTTACCAACACCATGCTCACTGCCATGATGGTGATAGACACCTATCCCTCAGGAACCCTAAGCCCCCAAATAAAATTTTCCTTCTGTAATTTACCACAGTTATGGCATTTTGCCATAGCAATAGAAAAGTAACTGATACAATATTATTTCATTTTTCTTTATGGCTCTGTAAAATTCAATTGTGTGTAGGTACTACATATTCTTGTGTGGAATCTAGATATAAAATTACATCTATCTATTGTCTCTCTATCCAATTTTTTTCTATCTATCTACCTATCTATCTATTATCTATCTATCTATCTATTATCTATCTATCTATCTATCTATCTATCTATCATCTATCTATGTAGATATGTATATACCTATAAATGTATTTATGTATGTTTGTATGTATGTATCTATCTATTTAAAATTATATGTCTGCCTGTCTATCTATCTATCTATCTATCTATCTATCTATCTATCTATCTATCTATTCATCTCTCTCTACAATTGCACCTGCCTATGTGTATTTATGTTTGCATGTATCAGTCATGAAATCAGAAAGAAGACCATGAGAGAGATGATGAAGAGATCTTAAGGAAGATGGACCAAGGGAGAATAGTTGCGTACCCATGACATGAAAGCAGAAGTGGGGACATCCTGAGGAATTATGGGAACCAGAAAGAGAATTCAGAGAAAATGGGAGAGGGGGCTGAATTAGAACAAAGTGCAATGATGTATAAAATATCACCCTAAAACTCATTACTTTGTATGCTGACCTAAAACTAATTTTAAAAAGAATTACTTTTTGTGTGTACCTGGATATATGTCTGCATAGTTCCCTGCAGAATTCTTTCAGTGCTAGACCCTTTGCAAATTGCTTCGTTAGTCTTTGGAAACCTGGACGAGATATCATAAGAGAAAACATCTGGAAGGTGGAGAATAGACAGGCTGCTACACGTTCTATGTTCTGTTAGAGTCAGAATACTGTGCTGGCTGGTCTCTGTCGCTATGACAAAATTCTTCATCACATCAATCTAAAAGAAGATGGGTTAGGGGACATGGTTCAGTCAGTAACCTGCCTGCTTCACAAGCATGAAGAACTGACTCAATTTCCAGTAACCCCAGCCATGGAAGTCTACATTTCTAACATTCCTGCCTCTACCTCCCAAGTATTGTGTTAGAAGTGTGCACAAGGATGCTGCCCTAGGGTTTCTATTTCTGCGAAGAGACACCATGACCACGGCAACTCATGAAGGGAAAACATTTAGTTGGGCTGACTTACATGTTCAGAGGTTTAGTCCATTATCATCATGGTGCGACATGGTGGCCTGCAGCAGACATGGTGCTGGAGAAGGAGCTGAGAGTCCTACATCTTGACTAGCAGGCAACAGGAAGTCACCTGTCTGACTGGGCAATATCTTGAGCATGTATGAATCCCCAAAGCCCACCTCCACAGTGACACACTTCCTCCAACAAGACATCATCTATGCCACAAAATCACACCTCTTAATAGTGCCACTCCTTTTGGGGGACATTTTCTTTCAAACCACAACAAATGCCTTCTTTATGCAGTGCTGACATTAGAACCCCTGGCTTCACGTGTGCTAGGCAAGTGCTCTGCCAATGGAGTTGCGTCATCTCCCATTTTTATAACCAGGAAAAATCAGAGACATCACTGGACCCACTCAGCAATCATTGGGAAGAGACAGAAAATAGGATTCATGTTGTGGATGTTAACATTTCAAAACAGAATGCACAGCTGTGAGATTAAAACCAGTGCTGCATTTATCTCGTGGCACAGATGAGATTCTTTACCCAGACTTTCAATGATCAGGATTTTCTTATTATAAAAATAATGCACATTTTTCTATAGGAAATGTAGTCAGTCATTACTCTTGATTTTACTTTGTGTTTTGTCTTTTTTCCCCTGCATGTCTTGGGAGTTTGATGGAGAAGAAAGGGTCTAGAATTAATGTGTGGCTCAAGTCAATTATTTTTATGTACAGTAGTATCTAGAGAATGCGAAAGATTAGACCAGTGGTTCTCAAACTGTGAGTCACGATCCTTTGGACTTGAATGACCCTCTCACGGGGGTCACATATCAAAAATCCTATATTTACATTACAATTCATAATAGTAGCAAAATCACAGTTATAAAGTAGCAATGAAAGCAATTTTATGGCTGGGGCTCACTAGAGCATGAGGAACTGTATTAAAGGGTCATAGCATCAGAAAGGTTGAACATCACTGGAGTAGACACACTTATTCTAGATCAAGTAGAATGTGGTATCTCTCATTGTTCTATAAAAACCTGTGTGTACAAATATAGTCTTCTTCACTTTTATCTTCATGTGTGTACAATGCATGTGTATGTGTGTGTGTGTGCATGTGCATGCATATTGGCACATATGGACGTGTGGAGGTGAGAGGTAATCTCTCAAGTGAGTTCTCACTTGAGACAGGATCACCTGTTGCTACCTTCTGTGTAAACTGGATTGGCTGGTACAGGGAACTTTTTTTTTTGTATCGCATGTATTTATTAAATTGTCAAATCATCATCTGAGAATGATCTTGTCTCTGTCTTTGCAAAAAGTCTGGAATTCCAAATGTTTACTATCTTATTCAGATTTTCTTGGGTTTTGGAAATCCAAATTCAGGTCCTCTGCCTCACACAGAAGCCCTCTTCTAGCATATGAATCCAGAAAGTCAAAAGGTGTTTTTGTAGCTCTACTGGGGAACATTTCCACAGAATCCTACAGATAACAGATGGTTGCACTCCATCACATAGATATGAACTAGCAACCCATTCCCATTTCTTTAAAAAGTGCCCCAATAGCCCTTTTGTGCTTTTTATGGAGAAAGATATGAGGATGTTTCTTGCCCAAATTCCCTTATTTTAAGCTGGTGAATTGAGCGTAGAAACTTTTCTGAATTGTCTACGTGAACTTGTTCTCATTAATTGATCACTTAAGTTGGTAATGTTGTTTGAGCAACAATAGCCTAGAAGTCCAACACACTGCAGAGAGATGCCTCTTAACATACTAGAGACCAAAGGTATTACACTGCTTGTCAGGTGTAAGTGTGTACTAGTTAATGGTGTTGTGAGCCCTTGTGATATTCAAAGCAAACACATTTACTTAAAGTACCTCATTTAACCTCCACTATAAGCCTCTTGAGCCAAGTGCTATTCTCCTTTTGTAGATGAGTAAATAGAATTCAAGATATGAGCTCATTCTTTCCGAGTCTCTGAAAATTCAAGCAGCAGATCCAGCTCTGAAACCCAGCTCAACAGCTTTGTTCTTTACTATTTCTGCAATAAGTGGCTCTTCTAGGTGCAGCCTGGAATGCCGTCTTGTCTTTGGTAGCAGGCTTTTCATGTCATATAGCATACCTTCTTTATGTGTGTGGTGTGCATGGGTGTGTATGTGTGTATATGAGTGCTCTTGCCTGTGAAGACACCTGTAAGGACACCTATTGAGGGCATCTATAAGGACACCTGTAAGGACACCTATAAGGATACTTGTGAGGACATCTGTGAGGACACTCGTAAGGACACCTGTGAGGACACTTATAAGGACACCTGTGATGACACCCATAAGGACACCTGTGAGGACACTTGTGATGACACCTATAAGGACACCTGTGAGAACACCTGTGAGCCCACCTGTAAGAACACCTGTGAGGACACTTGTGATGACACCTATAAGGACACCTGTGAGAACACTTATGAGGACACCTGTGATGACCCCTGTAAGGACACCTGTGAGGACACCCGTAAGAACACCTGCGAGGACACCTATAAGGAAGAGACACCTGTGAGGACACCTGTGGATGTTGAGACTGACATAAGGAGTTCTTCCTCCATCTCTTCCCCAGCTTACTTTTTGAGACAGGGTTTCTCACTGATCTTGAAGCTCACCATTGGCTAGAATGATTGGCCAGTGAGTTTCAGGGATCCTCCTATCTCTGCCTCTCAGGATTGGTGTGCACTTCTACGTCTGTCTTTTTACATGGATTTTGAGGATTTGAACTCGGGTCCTCCTGCTTGCATAATAAACACTTTACCCACTGAGCCATTTCCACAGACCTACAACAGCACATTTTAATCTTGAAAAAAAGTTCCTCTCCGCTGAGATACTGAGGTTGTGATAAGTGCAGGTGCTGAGAGGAGTAATTTGAGTGCTGGAGCTACAGACAGGTGCCACCATGCCCGACTACCAGCTTTATTTCTGTCTGTCTCCTGCAAGGTAATGTCATATCTATCAGATGCTCATTCCTGAGCTACAAACCCAATCAAAACACTATCGCTAATGGCATAGGCAACAACTATCTTCACATCTACAACCAAACGGTAAAGTAAATATCTTAGCTGAATTCTGACGCTTTCACTGACAGCCACAGAATGTGTATTTAAAAAAAAAAACTGTGCAGTTCATGGTTCTGGAAGCTAAGAGGTCAAAGTATATGGTATCTAGGGAGGGTCTTCTTGTGACACCATATGGCAAGATAGCAGAAGCATGCTGCTGCTCAGTGCTCCGCTTTTGTTAGGAAATCAGCACTGTCATCAGGGGAACTGCACCCTCACAACCTCATGAGGTCATCTAATGGCCCCATCTCATCCTAATCTCCTTCCAAAAGCCCCACCCCCAACAGCCATCAATACATAAATGTAGAGGTTGTTTTCAACACATGGGTTTTGGGAGCACACGCTTCAACTCTAGCAGGAAATGGTTGCTGCTATTATCTTGGATCATAATTAAGAACAAAGATAACACAACTGGTGACCAAGATGAGACTCAGTCCCATACCATCTGTCTGTTCATATGACACATTAAAGCCAGTTTCTTATAGCACAGAGGGCTGGATGGAAGAAATTAGCGTCTCAAAGTCTAAAGGGTGCCATTAAGATGGCTCAGCAGGTCAAGGCGCTTACTGCCAAGTTTAAAGGCCTGAGTTCAACCTTGGAACCCACATGGAGTAGGGAACTGAGTTTGGACAGTTGTCCTCTGTGTTCCACATATATGAACACACACACACACACGATAAATCTAAAAAAAATATGGAAGGGCCAGGATGTGGGTTATTGTGTAGACTACTTGCCCAGCATGCATGAAGCCCTGGGTTCTATCCTCAGCACTGCATAAAAACCAAGCATGATGGTGCACACCCACAGTCTCAGCAATAGGGAGGTTGGGACAGGAGGATCAGAAGTTGAAGGTCACCTGTAGCTGTATAGTGAATCTGAGTCTGGCACAGATTACATGAGAGTTTGTCTTTAAACGAGACAAAACTAGAAAAAAAGCTACACTTCGTTCATGTCTCTGCATAAGCCAAAGCAGTGTGTAGAAGACAAAATAGTCTGTTATAGGATTATGTTATAATCAAGCCAGATGCCCAGATGCAGGCATTTAAATTATTACACAGTTTGCTCTATTGATAAGAATACTGTAATGAACACTTTCATGTAAAACCTTCTTCATCTCTACCACTTCTATTTCTTTAAGGTACTATTTCCAAAACTATAATGTAGGGGCATGTTTAGCCTGTCATCATGATTGTGATTGGGCTCCAACTCACAGTGATCCTCCTGTTTCAGCCTCACAGGTACTGAGATCACAGCCATGCATAATCAAATATAACTCTGTGTGTATTTTAAACGCCACAGCAATTTCTGAGAAGATTAAACAAGTGGCAATCCATACTGGAAAAAAATATACAATTATACATTGTTTTATATTTTAGCCACAATTTTTATCATTCTTGTATCTATGCTAATTTCATTGGGAAAAATATATAGCTTCGTATTACTATGTTCATGCTGTCCATGGGGCTCTATGCTGTTTCCAAAATTTACTAGTCTGTTTTGGTGATTGATTTGCCCTAGGAAGGCATTTAAATATTAAATATGTTCATCATTTATTATATTGGTTTTAATATTTTTTTGTGGTTCTGGATATGGAACCCAAGGCTCTATGTGTAGTAGGCAACCCATTTATTACAGAGACACATTCCCAGTCTCTCACTGGAGGATTTTAGTCAGGTGATCTACCACTGAGCCATACCACACATTCTCACTGGGGGATTCCAGACAGGTGTTCTACCGCTGAGTCACACCCCAGAACCTTGCGAGGGGGGATTCTAGGTAGGGGCTCTGTCATCAAGTTACACCCCAGCCCCTCACTGGGGGATTCTAGGCAGGTGCTCTACCACTGAGCCACACCCCAGCCCCTCACTGGGGGATTCTAGGCAGGTGCTCTACCACTGAGCCTCACCCCAGCCCCTCACTGGGGGATTCTAGGCAGGGGCTCTACCACTGAGCCACACCCCAGCCCCTCACTGGGGGATTCTAGGCAGGGGCTCTACCACAACCCTCGTCACTGTTATAATTTTTTTAGTGGCAGTTTTCATGCCACGTTGAGACTGCGTTAAAGAAGCTTTGATATGTAAGTAAACAGACTGGTAGAAAGCATGCCTGCACCTGCGAGAACAAACATCATTCCTGCTGTTAGCTAAGCTCACCTGATCCTCTGGATTTGATCTGTGTTTATCCGGCTTCCTCCGTGTCCCAGCCCCACCCTCCACTTTCAAGCTGTGACAACTTCTGCTCTAAGCAGGATTAGGAGCATAAACAAATGATAATTGTCTTTCATCTCCTCTTCACCTCTCCTTTCTCCCCACCCAGTCTCTTCTTACGCATTAAGTATCATAACACTCGCAGGATGGGTCTATGAACCATCTGCCTTGATGGAAGGAGAGCTGCCGAGGAGAAATCATGTGCAGATTAAGGGCTGTCTCCTCCTGTCACTTAGACAAGCACATCTCGACTTGGCTCTGCCATACCCGAGCTGGGCAAGTCCACTCTCTGGCCCATTTAAGTTGCATGGAATTAGGATTGTGTGGTTGGACAAATTCCCACAAAAGGACCATCCAGAGCAGTTTTGTACGGATAGCTCAGTGGGATTTTTAAAAACATAGATTGGAAAACAAGCTTATGTAGTACATGGAACCTGGGGCAGAAGCTAAAGGCAGTGAAATAAAATCCTTGTTCAAGGGCTGGAAAGATGGACCGCAGTTACGAATACATGCACTCTTGCAGAGGTCCTGAGTTCAGTTTCCGGCATCCAGGCTGGGTGGTGACTCACGGCCACAGGTAACTCTAGCTCTGGGGTGTCCAATGCCTTCTGCCAGTCTCTGTGGAGGCTCGTACTAACGTGTACCTATCTCCCTCACAATCGTTTAAAAGCACAATATTAGTTATTACAAGCTTTTGTTTGGAGCCGACTCTATGCTCAGTGTATTAGGTACTTGTCTTGTTGCTGTGACCCACAAAGCTATCATTTCACCTCACAGTCCATCGGGAGTGGGGATGATGTTCCAAAAGCAAGGCAAATGACCATGCGGTATCCCAAAGTCAGGAAGCCAAGAGGGATGAACGCTAGTGCTCAGATCAGTTTTGCTTTTTATTCCGTTCAGCACCCCAGTCCATAAATTAGTGCAGCCTACAGTCAGGATAGGTCTTCTCACCCCTATTAACCATTTCTAGAAAATTTCTTACAACCACACATAGGTTTGTCTCTTAGGTGAGTCTTAATCCTACCAAGTAGATGCAAGATTAAACATCACAGCTCCATACTGAGCCCTTTCTCAAGAACAACAACAAAAAGTAAACTGGTATATTAATACTGAGATGGAAAAACATTCACGGTGCCACAGACACTCACCCACGCTTTGTGCAAGTCCTCTGTAAGTCACAATACATCGTGGGGACATTAGCACTGTGGATACTGGTGTTGCTGCTTAAGCGAGCCAGGAACTGCTACCCTTAAAGATCATACGTCATGTAAAAATAGCTTTTAAAAAATGCTAGTGGAAAAAAAAGTCACATCCAGTGGGAGCGGGGCCCTGATGGCAGTCCAAATGGAGAGTGATTTATGATCGTGAGTAGTCAATACTAGTGGGTCCACATCAATTTTATATCTAATTTAAAATTTTGAGCTCTCAATGTGCTCATTAAAGAGTATAATGGATTTACATATTTTAATTATGTTTTATGGATTGTGAACATAATGTAATTAAGAGACTTTTCAGGGGTGTGATTAATGAGCAGGGTGGCCAGACATATGGCGGGAGACACTACAGAGAGTGGACTCAGGGTGAGCAGAGTCCAGACCCACGGCTGACAGCCCTGACCACAGCACTAAAGTCGCTGTTCATGGTGATAGAATGGGGGCCTAATGACACTGTGTGGCAGGAGCAAGGCGCTCTGAAGAGCCATCAAGGGCTGGAGTGGGTATGTGCGACTCAGGAGGCCTCCTCTCTCTGCCTATCTAAGGTCTCTCCTTTCTGTTCCTCACACTCTCCACAGTGCAGATACTATAGCATGCAGACACATTGGTTGCATTATTTTGATTTTTTATTCAATTGTTTTTTTGAGACAGGGTCTCGTGTAGTCCAGGCCCACCTCAGACTTGTTATGTAGCTGAGAATGTAGACTTCAGAGCTCAAAAAATTAAAGATTTATTTTTATCTTTGATTAATTATGTACAGGTATGGGTTCCGTGTTTGGGTATGCTCATGTGGGCTATCCCAAGGAGCACATGATATGGTTGCTTGTCCTCTAGGTGAGCTGCAAAGTCTATTATTCTTCTAGCCATGACCTTTTGCTTCTTAGCCTCCTAGCTCCGTCTCCCAGGGCCTGGGATCACAAGCTTGTGCCACCATTGGCTGGTGTATTTATCTATTCGTTGCTCCAGGTTTATTTATCGATTCATTGCTCCATTCATTCTTTCACTCCTTCATTCATTCAATTTAAGGC